CCATTAGGCTTAAGTTAAGTTGGCATGTGGATAATGTTTGTGATAAGTTTAAATCAGAGTCTAGTTATTGTGATGGTCACCCTAGTTCAGAACTAGATGAGAGTTGGGCATACAAAGAGCATTTTAAGTGTCAAATTGACATGTTTGGAGCCTTAACTCAAGAATTATGTAAAATTATGGATAATGGTTCATGTTTCCACACGCTTAGGGTGGAGTTGGTTCCCTGTGGGTTTCAGTTTCGGCATTATGAGCATGCTTGCATGCGCATGTGCTCAGGTAGGGTAAACTGCACGTGTGAGGATGACAACACCCCGAGGCAGAGGTGGGGTTGGGAGAGGGAATGCCACAACACCGGCTTCTTGGGCAAAGATAACCAAGTGCCCAAGCCTGAGGCCACACTGGACCTTTCAGACCCACTGCTCTTACACCTTTCATCCCCGAGTTCACAATTTTGACAGATTGTGTTTCTGAGTCAGTTACATTCAAATGGGCCCAAGGCCCTGCATTCTGCCTGAGAAGCCCTTCCATGTGGGACAGGATGGACCCTGGGAGTTAACGGCAGGCTTTCCAAGGGGACGTGGAGCATGGCCAGAGCCAGAGGTCAGCTCCTGCTTGGTCCCCTGTTCAGTTCTCCAGATGGTAACTGAGATGAGGCTAATTCTGATATGGATTTCCCATTTAAACCTCCTTGAACATCACTTACGAAGACAGGCAATGAAGACAAAGGCAGTTTGGGTGGGGAAGATGGGAGTCTGATTTGGGGTACTTGCCCCTGTAGTGTGTGTGGGTGGGCTTTAGGGAAGAGGCATTCCATGGATGAAGGACCACACACACAAGGGCATGGAGGGCAGATGAGCTCAGCTTGCGCAGCAGACTAGGGAAACCCACTTAACTGGCTTGAGAGGGAAAGAAGTGGAAGGAAGTTTGAGGATGGGGGATCTGGGAACAGGAGGACAGCACATGGGTTGGATATCAAGTAGCGGATTTTGGACTCTATTCAGGAGGCAACAGGGAACCATGGAAAGTTCATATGGTAAGAATTCCTTCTTTTTTACTGCAATGTAGTATTCCATTGTGTAGATGTACCACAGTTTTTTAATCTACTCATCTGATGGGCACTTAGGCTGTTTCCAAATCTTAGCTATGGTAAACTGTCCTGCTATGAACATAGGGGTGCATATATCCTTTCTGATTGGTGTTTCTAGTTTCTTGGGATATATTCCTAGAAGTGGGATTACTGGGAGTTCCATTTTTCTTACCATTTGCAACAGCTGGATGGAACTGGAGAGCATTATGTTAAGCGAAATAAGCCAGTCAGAGAATGATAAATATCACATGATCTCACTCATTTGTGGACTATAATGAACATAAACTGATGAACAAAAACAGATCCAGAGACAGAGAAGCATCGATCAGATCGTCAAACCTCAGAGGGAAGGTAGGGGAGGATGGGGGTAAGTCGGAGAGAGCAACCAAAGGACTTGTATGCATACATATAGGCCTAACCAATGGACACAGACACCAGGGGGTGAGAGCATGAGTGTGGGGGGCGTGTGTGGGGGGCCAATGGGGGGATAAGGACACATATGTAATACCTTAATCAATAAAGAAAAAACGGAAGCTCATATGTTCAAAATCAGCCTTCATGCTTGTTCTGACACTGTGTCAGGCAAAGCCATGCCCACTCACAATGCTACACACAGGCACATTCCCTTATGCCAAAAGTGCACACACAGGAACACCCAGTCCCCTGTCAGAAACACTCATGCACAGAGAAATACTGTCATAGGGACAGCCACCCACACAGACACAGCTGCACACGTGGACACTTGCTCAAGCTCATGGATATATTTGGTTGTAGTGACATGATCACTCTCTCTACACCAAGAATACAATTTTACAAACAGGCACAGTCACACACATAGTCAGTCACAGACACAGTCACAGTCACACACACACAGCCACACACACAGTCACAGTCACAGACACAGTGACAGTCACCCACACAGTCACACACACACACACACACACACACACACACACACACACACACACAGAGTCATACATATTGTCACCGTCACCAGAGGCACAATCCCACATTCCTACACTTCCTATAAGTCAGCAAAAGCTGAGGGACAGGAGGGCTGGCCCGAGAAGCTACTGCTATAGACCCTGGGCTCCAGTCACTCTACTTAGGGCAGTGGTTTCCAACATGGGGCACATGCCCCACAGGGGGAGCAATTTGATTTTTAAGAGGGGCAATTGGAGAATGAGTTATTAACAGTGAATTTTTTGCATTTCTTATGGTTCTAGGGGCCTCATATACAGTATACAAATATATATTGTGACATATTTATGCATTTCAGTTCTCTATTATATGTTTTGAAACTTTATTTGCTAATTTTTCATATCACTTCATATTATTATTTTTTAACAATTTCTTGGTGATTTCTTCCTTAGTACTTCAACTGTCCTTTTGTTCTTTTCTTTTTGTCTTTCATGGATGCCATGTTCTTTGGAAGCTTGTTTTAGACCAAGTGAATGGCCTTTTAGGCTTCCTCTATGTGAATAGTTCACTTTCTGAATAACAAGAATTATATGTCAGGGGAGTGGGAGGAGCATTAGGATTTTAGAGATGCTTAGGTGGGGCATGGCCAAAAAAAGGTCGGGAACCACTGACTAGGGTTAAGCCTGACACTCACTCTAGACTTCAAAAGGAGTCAGTCTGACACTTTCTCTCGACTTCACAAGACTTGAGGAGCAACTGCCTCACCATACATTGGTCTCTTACATGTCCCCTGAGTTGTAAGCAGCACCAACCACCCTCTCCCCCATCAAATTGGGCCCTAGAGAGGAAGATAACAGCCCAGCTGTCTCCTGCCCCAGGGGTGAGGGCCAGGGGAAGGGGGATGTTGCCTCTGCACAGAAGATAAGGTGCTCCCCAGGTCCTCAAACCCCCAAGTGTGGCCAATAACTCCCTCCTTGGACCCTCCAGTGACAGACTACACCTGCCCCCTCCTGCTGTCACCTCCTGTGATGTGGAAAGGCCACCAAGTACACTTGGAGCCAAGAGCCAGGCTGGAGAGTCTGCAGATCTGTCTTCCTGTGTCTGACTGAGAGCAGGAGTCATATGTGTGTGTGAGAGAGTATGTGCTGCTTGTGTGAGGCTGCGATTGTGTGTACAATGATGCCTTTGAGGGGGCAGGACCATGTGAAACAGATGTGCCTCCCTCTAGGGTGGCACTTCTCTGTTGTGATCCGTCATGAGCCTATGTGAGGGTAGCCATGTGCGTAAAGGTGCAAGGCTGTGGGCCCCCAAGGCTTTGCACGAAGATGTGATGTTGTGACCAGTGAGAGGATTGGGCATGACTAGTTTGCATGAATTAGCATGGGGAGTGTGTTTAACAACCTACGTGGTCACTGAAAGCATGAATGTGCATGACAGGTCGCAGTAGCTGTCATGGTGCTGTGAGCTTCCTTGAACAGGGGTATGTGAATGATCGTCACCCTCTGACCTCAGGGATATTTTGTTTGCAGTTGACCATCTGATTATGTGTGTGATGATCTGGGTCTGTGGGTCTATGGTTATGCTGTCTGCCTATTTAGGGGTGAATGCTTGTACTGGGTCCACACTTCCGTATTTGATTGCTCGTGCCCGTGTATTTGCAGAGACCAGCTTGAAGCTGCACAGGTTTGCATGCCCACGTGGATGTGTTTGTGATTACATAGGAATGTCCTGCAAACAGCTCAGGGAATCTGAATGATTATTGGAACCAATTTAGACACGGGTCAGAGCAGGTCCAGTTTCCAAAAGCCATTTTACAAGCAGGCTTCCCCCACGCATCCTACCCACTCACCTTGATCCTCTTTTCCTCCTGGAAGGTGGAGCACAGTTGGGGAGAATTTCAAAAAAGATGTTCTACTGCAGCGGTTCTCAACCTGTGGGTCGCGACCCCTTTGGCGGTTGAACGACCCTTTCACAGGGGTCGCCTAAGACCATCCTGCATATCAGATATTTACATTACGATTCATAACAGTAGCAACATTACAGTTATGAAGTAGGAACGAAAATAATTTTATGGTTGGGTCACAACATGAGGAACTGTATTTAAAGGGCCAGAAGGTTGAGAACCACTGTTCTACTGGGAGCCAAAGTCAGAGGATGCTTCTTACCCAATGGAGGCAGAAAAGGAAGATACTGGAGTAGGAAGGGCATTTATATTTTTAATAGAGAAGGACATGGAAAGAAATTAGGAAATTATTCCCCTTTAGGGATGGTCTCAGCATAGCCTTCAGCAAATCGGTGTCGTAAAACCCCTCTCCTTTTAAGAACCCCTGTTGGAGAATTGTCCAGGATTTCTGCAATGAGACCCCGACAGAAAAAAATGGAGGCATTGAAACAAGGTGCTTTGAGCCTTAGGAGTTAACACTATTGCAACTCCTCCCTTACTAGGGTGCTATTCTCAGAATGTCCACAACAGTGCGCTATTGCAACACTTGCCTTCAAAGGCGAGAGTCAATTGGTTTTCTATTCAGACTCCTAGAAATGTTTCCATATTAAAAAGTTTAAGGACAAAAAAAAAAGTTTAAGGACAAAAATATGAAAAAAACTCTTTGCAAAAATCAAGTTCAAGCAATTCTGAGACTCTGAAATTCTGAGTTTTTATGAGTATCAGGGAAACGTTCCTGCAGATTCAGTAACTTAGAAACTGGAGCTTTCAGACTCTTTCTGGTTAATTGGAGTCCTGTACACATACTAGTACATAGGAATATTACACATAACACAACAAAGATTATTGGATGATTTCGTGGATGCCATCCTCAAAAGGAACCATTTCCAGAGACTGACAGGGAAAACTAGGGGCACAGAAGGGGTTCCCTCAGATCAAACTCTTCCTACAACTGGAAATCTTTCAGAGCTTCCGAGAGGAGATAGTGACCCAGAAAAAGTACCAAGAAATATTTCTCCCCGTCCCAGAAACAGAGAATTTGTCTTTTGATTAAGCAGCAACTATGTTTAATTATGAAATTATTCTGGTCCTAATGGAAGAGAAACAATCCAAGTTTAAAAGGAGTGACGCTCTTTCTTCCTCACTTATCTTAGAGGCAAGTAAAGGTAAAGGCCCAGGCCCTGGTAAAGGCCCCAGGGAGAAGTCCCCACTCCTTTCAGCCCTGTGTCCAAGGTCACAGTTCTAAGATCTCTAAGCATCCTGCTATGGAATAGGGCTGCCCCAGTGACGCCTTCCACCTATGTCTCCGGAGACACTTTATTCTGCAACCCAGAGAGTTGGTTCTCCTCAGCCTCATAATCAGCAGTCTGAAAAATCCTCATTATTTGGAGCTCAGGATTCAAACTTGCTCTAGATATACTGGATGAAAGGTCCTTGGAGGACTCCTCTTGGACTACTGGCATTTCCTCCATCTGAGGACCGAACTCCTTGTTAGTGGATTCTGTCTTGGATAACTCAGGATCTAAAAGAAGACCAGCCATTAATTGTATCTGTAGCCTTCTCCCAATTAGTTGTGACAAATGGAGGACAGAAAAGGAAGGACTTGGGTGTCTTCGGTACCCTTCTGAAGGATGAGAACTGTGTCATCCAGGGATGTGAACCATCCTGGTCAGCACAAGTTCAGCTCTCCCTGTCCTCAGACACTTCCTAAGGTTCCTCCACCCTAGTAACTCATTCTGCTTACTGGAGAAGGAATCCAGGTCGTTCTCAGCATTGCCCATCTGTGGTCTCTCTGTGGAATCCTGAAATTCATTGGAGTAAGTATAAGGAAACTTGAAACTTTAGGAAACAAATGATATTTTTCTAAATGAGGCTTTTCTTAGAAAAATTAACATCTAATACAGGACAAAATCCCACCTCCTGAGACTAGAGAAGCTTGCATCACATGTTCTTTGCCCTCCAGACTAACTAGATGAAGCCAGAACCTACTTTTACCCATTCCCAGTTGTCAGCTAAGGGGAGATTGCCTCCAAAGGTGGCTGCCACAATTCCTCCCATTCCTGTAGGCACATACTGTTCCTTCCATCAAGAGAGGGAGTCTATTTCCTCTCCTCTTGAATCTGGGCTAGACTTGTGATTTTTTTTACTTCAATAAAATGTGGCACTATGACACTGATCCAGTTCCAGGTCCATCCCTTAAGGAAGTGCTCACATGAGATTATGATGCTGTCAAAAAGCCCAAACTAGCTACATGTAGAGAACTCATTACGAGAACCAAGGCAATTTGGCCAACAGTCCCAGCCCAGCCTCCGGCCGAATGTGGCTCCATGAGTGACATCAAGCAAGACTACACAAACTATCCAGTCAACCCACAGAATCATGAGAAATAACAAACGACTAAGGTTTCAGCTTTGGGGTGGTTTGCTAAACAGCAGATAACTTAAACCCGGGTCCTAGCAGAAGAGCGCTCAGACACTCACCTGTTTCAAGATGGGCCCATTCTTCTCCATCTTCGGCTGCTGACTGTTGTCACTTTCCCCGCCCGGTAGAGTTCTGTGACCTAGTGACCACAAAGACAGCTCATTTCTCTTCTTATTTGTATTTCATATCCTATTATTGGGCCTCTAGTTGGACCCCTAGTCTACAAGTGACTCCCTATCCAGGACAAGACATGTGTGAAGAGGCAGCTAACAGGGAGTTAGGTTTCCCGAGTTCTAGCTGTGATTCTGCTCACCTGTGACTGCCCATAGCTATTACAGAAGTAGAGATTAAGGTAAAGTGAGTGTCAAAAGACCCAGGATTCCTCCAAGAAACCCAAGGGTCAGCTATCTGCACAGCACAGCAGCAAGAGTCCCTAGCTCTACCTTTTCCGTTTATGAATACTCCTCTGACCTTCTTGCACCATACCTAATGTACCCATATTGGCTTTTGAAAATGAAACCCCACCCCCCAAAAAGCTCAAGTTCCACAAGTCTTTTGCATCAGCTTTATCCCCAGCTAGTCCTGAAATGTCTTCTTTCCAGTGAACACCTCACCTGAGCCCTCCCAGGGCCCCAGGTTGGAGAGTGAATTCTAATGGTTAAACAATTATTTTTGCATTACAGTTGGTAGTGTCCAGGTTTAAGGGGATTCTTCCTCCCTCCTTTCCTCCCATTCTGCACTCAAGCTGAGAAATGTCAGAGGGACAGGGGTAAGTATATCTTTCAGCTCAGACATAAAAAATTCAAAAAAAAAATGAGATACACATTCTATCACCAGCATGAACACTAGAGGAGAAAGAACGCCTGTCAAGAATCTGCTAACTGCCTCCTGGGGGGGGGGGGGGGGGGTAGATAATACGTTGATCTCAACCTGAGGCTGCAGAGACTAACTTGTGGCAGAGGAAGCAGAGGGCCCTGGACTCTGCTTCCTTATAACTCTCTTGGGCGTCAGTGAGGGTCCCCGGATCTCTGCTTCATCAACCAGTTGACCCGCAGAGGTCTTCTCTCCAGTAACGTGGGCTTGCTCATCCTCCTCACACCACTCTGCCTTTTCTAAAGCAGGACTTGAGAGATGGCTCTGACTCATGCTCACGGCCCTCTCTCAAATCCCATGGGAAGCAGACACCTGGCCCAGCTTGCTTGCTTAGTAAATATTTGATGGAAGGGTGATAGCCAAGCCAAAGGCAGGTTCCCAAATGACAGACACCATCAGCTTTCCCTGCCCTTGGCTTTATCCTCGGATCTGTCACTCTCAAGCCATATTCTCCTTATCATAGCATGGGTCACAACCCACAGTACCTAAAGATTTATGCGAAGTGCTCTGGCTCCTCGAATCTTTCTTGGATTTCTTTTTAGCCTCCTGAAATCCACATGAGGACTGAATTAGAACTTTTAGAAGTGAAGAAAGTGTTTCCAAAAAAGTCTAAAAGAAGGAAGTTAATATCCACAACCAAATAGGAACTTTGTATCTACAAAGTTCTACAACCAGACAGAGAACAGGGAGAATCCCGCCTCTCATACATCCCTGCCCGTTCCAGGCTGCACCCAGGTATCGCAGTCCCAGCAAGTCCTAGGTGTCTCCCCACTGCCACTCTACCGGTTTCTTCAGTTTCTTCGTAGGTGTCTTCAACTTCCTCTGCTGCTGCCTCTGCTGCTGCCTCTGCTGCTGCTTCTGAAGACCTGGAGATCAGAGAACCCGCTCAATGCTCTTCTCCCTGATAGCTCCCACCTCCCACTGGGCTGCTGGCTGTGCCCTGCTTTACAATGGCGACTCTCTCTCCCTGGTCAGGACCAAGCCAAGGCCGGGGTGGTGGTGGTGGTGGTGGTGGTGGTTGCTTCTTGAAATTGCCATTTCCTGAGTTCTACATGTGACCCTGTATGACTGGCCACAAACATAACTGAAGTTGGCCCAAGAACAAGTATGAGAATTGTGGACTGAGGAGGAATGGTACCTGGAGATCTGGCAGCACTAGAAAGCCTATCTTCTATGTTCAGGTTATAATATAATTTCTTCAAATGTGCAGGATATTTCAATGATGGTCTCTGGAGAGAAAAAGGAAAACACAGGTCTTTCCCCAAATGGATCCCCCAAATTCATTTATCTGTCTAATCATCATGCAGTGTTTGAGAGCCTGGTGTGTGCGGCATTGTGCCAGGGGCTCTGGAGAGAAGAAAGGTACAGGAAAGGAAGTGCAGAAGAAATAGAGACCATTGCTCTTCTCAGACCCCTCCCCATACATTTGCTTTCACCTATAGAGAGCCCAGCCCTTCTGTGGGGCTTGGGTCCAGAGTGGAAGGATAGGAGGGAAAGCAGAAAACAAAAGCCAACTGTTCCCGCCTTGCAGATGGATGCGCTTGGGTTTGCATGTAGACATCTTGCTCTGAGGCTCCCTAACTCTTACTTGCAGGGTGAGGCGGTGCACAGATAAAAACATCTGGGCAGAAATGGCGCTCTCGGGCCGGCTCTTTTTCAGAGGGTTCTTTTTCCTCGTGGCCAATTGTGTCTTCGTCTCCAGACAAGGCGACCTTTCCCCTTCATCTAACAAAAGACTGAAGGGCACAGAGACAGCCGGGCAATCAGCAACAGCTTTTCTGGAAAGTGTGGCTGAGGTGAAACATGAAAAGGGCTCCAAATTTGAAGAAATGTCCACTTTGGGTCTGAATGGTCTGTACCAACAGGTACTCATTCACTAACAGCTTTCCGATGCGGCTATGATCATTACAGCCATATGGATGAAGTGTTTGCAGTTGGTCAGGCTCGTGTGCCTTATACCAGTGCATCCTCACAAGACCCTAAGGACAAGTGTTATTGTCCCCATTTTGCAAATGAGGAAAACGAAGCTTAAAGAGGCTAAATGAAGTACAAAAAAATTCACAGAGCCGGTAAGTTTTCCATCCTCCCTCCCATTTATCCATAACTCATCTACAAAAAGAGAAGAGTAACTGAGTCTACCTCCAGTGGGGGGTTAAATGAGAGGATATATGTAACGTGCTTGCTTAGCACAGGGCTGGCAGACGGTAAGCACTTGATTAATGGTGGCGAGTGCTGTCACCACTGCGTCCCGGGAAGTCTAAGGACGCAGTGAACAAGTAGGCTGATGGTTTCCCCTCCCTACTCAGGAGCACATGGCTTCGACCCTTCACAGCCTCAAACAGCCGGCAGGCGCTCACATCATACTTACTCGCTCAGGAGATCCTGAGGCAATGCGTCAGACTGGTTCAAGAAAGGTGGGAATTCTGGACTTAGTTGCTCAAAAAAGCGTACTGGGGTCGGGGGAGGCACAGTTATCCCTGGAGAGCTCAGCTTTGTTTCTCTGTCCTGCTTTCCTGAGAGAACCACGGACAACTGGAGGAGAGACAATGGAAAGAGCTCCCTGAAGCACTCTTGTCAGGGCCGCTCCTTCCCACCTACCTCCCAGCCTCCCAACACCACCCGGCACATGAAACGCCTCCTTAGCAGGAGCAACGTCCTCCCCAGTCTGCACTATGGGGGCCATCACATGCTTCCCTCTCTGGCTCCCCAACCCTATTACCAAATTCAGATCATTTGGGAATTAGTTGTTTTGTTTGGTTTTTCCCCAGCATGGTTATTCACTTATTCACTGAACAAACCGAACAAATATTTATTGGCAAACTATGCGCAGGCACAGGGCTAGGGCCAGGGTTCAGCATTGAACAAAATGGACCAAGGCGTTATTCTCATGGACATAGCAACCTTCTAGCTCTGGCTCTTCAAGGCTACCTTTACCTAATAAATGGTAGAATTAGAAGTGCAAGCCCAGACCCATTGTAACTCCTAGGCCCCTGAATACCCAGCAGTTCCTCCTAACATCTCTTCAAGGTACTCTCCACCTTCCTACAGGGAGGAGGTTTGGGAAATGAGTCTCCAAAATGATTTGGTA